GCCGGCTGCTCTTCAGACGCCCGCCGGGGACCGTTAGCGCTGGCCCCGCCTTCCGGCCCCGCCCCCGTCTAAGCCCCGCCCCAGCCCAACCCATCAGTCGGCCCAGCCCCACTCTTCCCTGCCCAGCCCTCGGCCCCACCCCTCGAGGAGGCCCCGCCCCTACGGCCCCGCCCCTCACACAGACCAGCTTGTCCCGTCGCCCCGCCCCCGCATAAGCCCCGCCCCCAAGGAAGCCCCCCTGCCAGCTGGTCCTCCGCTGGCCTGGTGCTGACCCTCACGCCGGATGGACAGCGCGTGGCTCCGGCTCCACCCTTTCCCGCGCTCCCCAGCGTGTCCTCCAGACCCGTGGAAAGTCCGGGGCCGGCGGACCCGGCGGTAATGCCGGGGTCCCGCCGCAGTGCTCCTGGGGACAGGCCGGCGCGCTCCTGGCCGCAGGACAGAGGTGTCCCCGGCCCCTCGGGCGCGAGGTGCTGCCCACACTCTGCGCGGTGTGAGGCTGACAGGCCCGCCAGCTGGTGCTTTTAATCACCGCCCGCTGGACGCTGGACGCGCGGGCTTTCAAGTAGTAACTCCGCGGGCAGCGCGGCCAGCGGGACCACCGTGGTCAGCGCCATGTGGCCTCAGGCTGCTCCCTGCCAAGGGAACGCAGGACACTGCGACCAGAGACTGCATCAGAGGCAACTTTTGTTTTCAAAATACCTGTTTTTCTTTTTCCTCATTTGTTAATTTTTTCATTTCCCAAATAACAAGCGATGGAATCATGGCCTGAGACAATTCTGACCTCAACTCCGGCAGGGCGAGGCGGCCTTGCAGCGGGGCGTGGGGGGCCCTGTCCCCTCTTCCATACATCAGATGTCTTCCTGCCGGCCGGTCCTTCTGACCTCAGGGTCACCACTTTGGCGGCACTGGTCACGGCCTGCCAAACCCAAGGCCTTCCCTCCCTCAGCTCCACAGCCGGAACTGGACACCCCCAGCTCTCACCTCCGCCGCGCCCTCGAAGTCCCTTGTGATCACACCCAGTGTTGGAAGCCGGCCTGGCGGCCAGTGCAGCCCCCGGGGCGAGCGCCACACGGACAGCGGCCCGACCCACTGCCTCGAAGGCTTTCGAGACGTCGCCCGGCACAGGTGACGCGTTGTGCCGGACTCTGGAGCGGGCTGCCGGCTGTCCTCGGAGCCTCCGGTACTGGGACGGAGGGGGGACACTGGCCAGAGGAGCGCGAAAGGCGCCGCAGGGCAGCGCTGGCCGCGCTCACCGCGCCCTCACCCAGACAGATGCTCGTGGCGGGAGCCACAGGGACGCGCTGCGGCTGGGGGATACTCTGAAGACGGTTCCTACGGACACTCAGCATCAAGCAGGACAGTGCAGTGTCATGAGCAGGAAGGCGCCCTGGAGAGGCTCGGGGGCCCTCCGCGGCCACCGCCCGTGTCTGCATCTCTGTCGAGGCTCAACAATATCAGCATGTGAAGCGGAATCCGAGTGGGCTGGTGGGCAGCCCTGGGGGCGGCCACGGCCAGGAGGCTGAAGGGACCGCCGGGACGGGGAGGGCCGACCGGGAGGGCGCTAAATTCTGACACGGTGTGAGGACAGAGCTGTTCATCGTTTCCAAGATTTATTTTTATTTATGCACACAGAGCTGGGGTGCAGGCCAGAGGTGTGAGGGCGAGAGGCTTCACCAGAGACAGAGCGGGGGGGCAGGACAGGCCGGCCGACCAAGTCCCTGCTGAGGGGGCTGTGGGGAGACAGGAGGGGCTCCTGCACCTGGGGTCACTCCCTGGCCGGGGTCAGACACGTGCTGAGGCGGCTGCAGACAGCCTCGCACTGCGCTTTCACCCCTGCGCCGCCAGAGAGGGCCCCAAAAGAAGAATACTTCATGACATGTGGAAATTATCAGAAATTCTAACGTAAGTGTCCATACAGTTTTAGGGAATACAACCACGCCCACGGGTCCCGAGGATCTCTCCCCTACTCACCTGCTTCCACAGACACCACGTGGCCACTCAGCTGGGTGGTCACCGACTGGCCTTTGCACAAGAGGCCCTCTGCACTCTCTAGACCGCCCTAGGCGCAGAGTGTCTCGGGGCGGGCTGGGCAGGGGCCCCTGTTGGGGGCGGAGGCCGGGGAGAAGCTCCGGTGCCTCTCAGGGGGAGGGCGGCTTCAGGGCACTGGGCCCCGTGGGCCGTGTCCTCAGGGACACCCTGCCGCTGCAGGGGACGAGCTGGCACCACAGTCTCTGGCGCGCTCTGTCCGCCCAGCTATGCGTGAAAGGGCCCGTCTTGGTTATTTTGTCACTGGGTCCTGCGTAGTGACCGGACGGACGCTGCTTCCTTCTTCCCTTTTCTCCTGGCCTTGTAGAAAGTCCTTCGTGGCGGTTGCTCCAGCAGCAGGAAGCCCGGCGCCCGCGAGCACAGGCCGCGGCACTGGCCACTCTGCCCCTGGCGGCACAGCGCCTCTGGCCTTCCACAGGAGGCCAGCGGGTCTGGGGGTGCCCTTCCACCCGCATCGGCCTACGCCCCGCTCTCCGACCTGAAGCTGAGGTGGACGTTTATAACATCTACGACTCTCCCTGATGCCCAGAGTTCAGACTCCTCCTGGCGAAGCCCAGTGGGACTTTCCCTCAGCCTCAGCCCGGGTCCTCCGGCGAGCGGCTGGCCAGGCCTGGGTGGAGAAGGTGCTCCTGTGGCCAGGAGACCTCGGGCAGCCAGGCAGCAGATGCCATCTGGGGGCAGAGCCTCGAGGCCACAGCACAGGCTTCACAAGGCCAGTGCTCTCGGGGCCGCGGAGCTGGGCGGGAGCCTGGTGGGGCAGGGTACTCTGGCCACCTCGTGCAAGCCAGTGCTGCCCACTCTGGCTGCTGCAGCCCACACACTGGCCTCCCTGTCTTTGTGTTCCCCAAGACGGCCCTCCCAAGGGGAAGCGCCAGGGCCTCGGCTGCCCAAGGGTCTGGGCAGCAGCCCTGACCCTCAGGGATACGGTCCCCTTGGAGGCCTGGGGACACGGGGCGCCGGGCCTCACTCAGGGAGCCCCTCTTCCTGCTGGTCTTCCTTGTCTGTTTTGGGAAAGTTTCTCATAAACGTGTTCCTTGGGTTTACAGCGACTGGAAGTTATTTCTAACTGAGCCGAGTATTTTAAACTCTCCACAAGCTTAACTTCTGGCAGAGGAAGCGCTGCTGCGCCAGCCCAGGTTCGCAACAAGGCGAGTGGCCAGTGCTGACCGCCTCCTGGGCGGTGCTCAGAAGGGTCCCCCGTCACTTTTGTGACGCCAGGGAAAGGGGGCCCCAGCGCCACACACCCCGCACGCTTGGACGCCAGGAAGCCTGTCAATGCTCCGGGCGCCCTCAAGTCGGACGGGTGTGGCTGGAGGGTGCCGCTGGCCGATAGATGACCCTGGCGGTGGGGTCGCGAACTGCTGGTCGGAACCTCCTGGGTCGTGGAGTGACCGCTGCGCCCCCGGCGGCGCCTGGAGGAACTGCAGCACCGCGCCGAGCCGCCCCCGCGGCGGCCCGGGGTCAGCGCGCCCCCTGCCGGTCCCGCCGCACGCGACCTCGCCCACCTCGTCACTGGCTGGGCCTAGGCTGGCTTGTGGCCTGTCCCTTACCCCAGCCCCAAACGGCCTTGTGTTTTCAGAGCACACAAGTGGGAGGCCCTGGTGGCAGCCTTGGGCTAGCAAGGCTGTGCCTGGACGTTCCACCGGGCAGTGAGCGGGGAAGCAAAGGCGTCTGGAGGCGGTGGTGCTGCCCAGCAGGAGGGGAGGGATAAGTGGGGCAGACTGAGCCCCCATGAGGCCTCTGGGTCAGCAGAGGGAGGGAGCCTGCCATGGTCGCCACCCCGAAGCTCCTCCACCGCTGAGGGCCTCGGCTTCTCTCCACTCCCAGCAGGTCTTTAACCCATTAGCCCATGTGCCAATGAGCGTGGCCCCTGGGGTGCAGGCACAGCTCCCCACCGGCCTTGCCATCCCCAGCACAGCCTACCGAGGCACCGCAGGCCTTTGCCCTCCCCGCAGCACACCCGGGTCCAGGGAGGCAGTGGGCCCAGCAAGGGCACGGTTGGTGTCTGCCTGGGCAGCCTCGCTCAGCAGCACCCGGCAGGGCGGGCGCGGCAGGGATCGGGTGCAAAGCCCAAGGTCCGCTGAGTGCCTGGCTGGCCTCCCCCAGCGAGCCGGCCTGCTGCCCTGGCTGTGCTCCAAGTGGGGCGGCTGCCCCTCCCGGCCGGTTTCTCACCGGGTGAGAGGGAGCAGTGTGAGCAGAGGGCCTGAGCTACACAGGGCGAGGCCGCGCAGGCCCCTCCCCTCGGCCTCCCTCCAGCCCACCAGGACCCGGCGCCCTGACACTCGCGGCAAGGAGGCCCCTGAAGGCACAGGGAGCCCCCAACCCCTGCTCCCGCGTGGGCTGGCAGCTGGCACAGGGGTGTGGGCTGGCCGGGACAGTGTCCCAAGCCTTGACCCGAGATGACCAGGGCGCCCGAGCCAGGCCCTTCTTTAGCTGGGACACAGGCCCCATCACCCAGGTCAGGCAGAGGTGGGCGCTGGCCTCCGGGGCGGGCCCCTGCGCCATCGGGGGGGGCGGGCGGGCCTCCCTCCAGCAGTGCAATCACTGGGGGGCAGGCAGAGCAGGGGCAGCGCTGGGCCGGAGAGCTGCCAGTGAGGGAAGGCGGGGTGCCTCCTTGCAGCCTGCCCGTGCTGCGCCGTCCCACACGCCCCACGCCTCCCCTGCCCGGAAGCCTGAGGCCGCAGCCGGCCTGGACCTCAACCCCGAGTGAAGCGCACTCAGGGCGCTGCCGGGGCTCCGCACGCTCCCCCCAGGCCAGAAGGCAGGCAGGTGCCGTCGCAGCCCCCAACACCCCCTCCCAAAGCAGGGCTGGGCGTCTGCGGCCTGCCGCGGAGAGCAGGCGGCTGCCTCCGGGGCGCAGCCGTCTCCTCGCGGCCCAGGCGGGCGCCGACACGCGGTGAACAGGCGGACAGCGCAGGCGGGGATGTGGGCGGCCACCTGGCCTGGGGCGGTCAGCCCAGCCGGGCTGTTTATTGACTCCTCCGGGTCACTCCAAGCAGGGCAGGACAGGAAGGGCCGCGGCGCCCCCTGGGCTGTGGACACAGCGCCTCGTCGAAGGCCGCGACTGGAGCGCAGCGGCCCCAGCCGGCACGGGGCCCGCGGCGAGGCCGTTTCCTGAGCCCGTGGGCGAGCCGCAGCGCAGGTCTGTGCCGCGGGCTCCGTTGCCTCCCCGGTGGGGCGCAGCCTGGCCCGTGCCCTCCGTCCGCTCCCCAGCAGTTCACGGAGAATCACCACTCTGGGCCTGGGGGTTTACCCAGAGTGAGTCATGAAGTGACCACTGGGGCAGCGTCGCCTGGCCAGCCTGGGGGGCGGAGGGCAGGCGTGTCACTCCCAGACCCCTTCTGGAGACCCAGCAGGAGGCCAGGGAGGGGCAAAGGTGGGGCGGGACACCCCCATGCTACAGCTCCCCTCCCTCCTGTCTGGACGTCTGGGGTTCCAACACCAAGGTGGATGGGAAAGCGACTGGGTGGGGGTCATCTGGGGTGGGGGTGGACTGCCCGCTACTCTCCCTGGGAGGCTGGGGTCTCTCTGCCTGCAAGAAAGGAAGAGAAAAACAAGTCACCATTAAAGGGGGGCTCGTTCCCAGAGCCGGCCACGCCCCTCCCGCCTGCAGCCCTAGGGCTGGGAGGGCCCGTGGCCAGGCTTGGGGGAGTCAGGCTGCACCTTTCTGTCCCTGAGGGCCTGCGAGGCGCAGAGCGTCTTCCTATGCAGTCAGGCCTAGCCGCCCAAGGCTCCCAGCAAGCCCAGGGCAGCCCCAGCCCCAGGGCACTCAGGGACCCAGGGGTGCGGCCTGCGGATGTGTGGGCTGGGAGCACCCTGGGGGCTCAGAAGCGAGCCAGGGCCACCTGGAGGCTGAGCCCAAGAGCCCCAAGCCCTCCACGAGGAGGGCCTGGCAGCAGTGGGGCGCCTCACTGACTAGTACCCGCGCCAGGGCAGGAACTGAGGAGGCTGTGTGGCCCTGCCCGCAGCACAGAGGCGGCCAGCTCAGGAGGGCTGCGTAGCTGGCCTCCAGGAAAGCCCACTGCCAAGTTCACTCTAAGAGGTGCCTTTTGGGCAAACTCGTGATCGACCAGGCACAGGCGGGCACCTGCCCCTTCCAGTCCCGCAGCCCCTTGGGCGGGCTGTGGCGGCCTCAGGGGACAGGCAGGCTCCCTGCACGCGCTGCCCGCCCCATGCCCACCCCATGCCTGCCCCATGCCCCCCACGGCCCTGACCGTGCTCGCAGCCCTCACCTTTAGGGATGAACTTAAGCGAGCTGCTGAATATTCAGAAGCGGGACTGGCCCCGTTTGGGGCCGTCGTTCAGGAACTCGTGGCCCAGCCCATTGCCACACTTGCCACAGGACACCTGTGGAGACCAGCCGGAGCCACGTGGTTTCAGGCCCATGCAGCAGCCAGGGCCCTTGCCCCAGCCAGTCTCTGCCTGTGCCCCGTCCCCAGGGGGTGCTGGCACGAAGCTGACCTTCACCCAGAGCCTGCAGAGCCAAGCCACCTCCTCCCTTCCCCACTAGTGCCCCCTGCGTGGGGGGAGGCTGGGGCTGCAGCCAGCACTCAGGCCAGAGGTCTGGGGCAGGCAGACTCTCCGCCCCCGGAATGGTGAGGGGGCCCTCGCTGCCAGCACCCCGCCCACCCCTTGCTGGGCCGCCTACCTTTAAGGCCTCAGGCCGGTTGTGCTCCGGGCGCTTGGCCACGCTATCCGGGTGAATGGTCTCAGTGAAGGCCGGCCAAGGGGATGAGTGCGCGTACTTGGAGCGGCTGGAGAAGAGCTCGTAGCCACACTTGGCACACACGTAGACACCTGGGCAGGAAAGACGGACAGCTGGCTCCTGCGTCCTCGGCCCCAGGAGACCCTGATGCCTGGTGCTGACTGTGCTCCCATTCCTGGGTCTTCAGCCACGGGGCCCCTGTCTCACTGCCTGCCCGCCAGGATGCAGCGCTGCTTCTCCACCAGACAGTGAGGAAGCGGAGGTCTGGAGCACAAAACCCTCAACTGGACAAGGAGCGCAGGCTGCTGAAGCAGGAGGGCACTGCACCTGCACCCTCGGGCCTGGACAGCCCACCAGCTGTCCTCCTTCCCAGTGGCTGTTGGCACTGCCCAGGGAAGCCTGTGGGGAGGGGCCCTGGGACACACAGTCAGGGAGGAGAGGCTTTACCCAGCCTCCGTCCACTTTAAAGGAAGAAAACAAAATGCGGTTGCAAAAGTCACTTGCAGAACAGGAAGCTGGCTGGGGGCCCCACCCTCACCCCTTGCCCACAACCTGGCACGGCCTCTCCTGGGCCCCTGACCTTCACCAATAACTTAGCAAAGAGGGGCCAGGAGCTCCAGCTGCGGGAGTGGAGCTTCCCTGGGAGCAGGCTGAGGACAGCCGAGGTCCCACAGCGGAGGTCTCAGGAGGACGGCCTTGCCTAGAGGGCCCTGGGCAGCAGCTGTCAGTCCCTGCGCAGGCCATAGCTCTAGGCTTGCCTGGGGCAGTTTTTACCAAATTAGTCCATTGCTAGGCAGCGCCGCCCAGAAGGGCGCTCACCAGGACCTCACCAAGGCGCGGGGCTGAGCGCAGGCCAAGCCCCCAGTCACCCCACCCCAGGCTGTGGCCAAACTGCACTGTCCTGGTAATACTCCGGATTACCCAAGCCAAGCGGCGGGACGGGGGCTGGGGCCAGATGGGCACGATCTGATGCAACAGGAGGGCGTTCTGTGCCCCGCAGCCAGGAGAAAGGGCGTGGGCACCAGGGGCAGGTCCCGCAAGCCCCGGCCCCCCTGCGTCAGCCCCCACGATCGCAACCCACAGACTGCCCCGGAAACGGCCACTCTCACGCTCAAGGGCCGCCGTCCTCCAGGACAGCGACGCTGCCTAGTGACCCGCCGCCGCTTCGCGCCCAGTCCCCGCGCGCTCCACCCCGCGGATGCACCGCCGCCCCTGGCGTGCGCGCCGCGTCCGCTGCCCCCTCCCGGGGATCACAGGTCGTACCCGGCTCAAAGTGGTTCTGGAAGACCTCGCCCCCGAAGAAGCTGCAGAAGGACATGGCGCCACCCGGAGCGCAGGGCTCCAGCCTCCGTGG